CTCACTGGTCCCATCTTTGCTGGTGATCACACCTGCACTTGTACACCCGCACTCGCTCCAGTCACTGCACCATGGACACACAGGCCCTCTGACCCATGGTCTGGCTGCAGTTGCTGCACTCAGACCCCTATATACACACAGGCACACTGAACAGAGAGCTTACCCAGGACAGAGTTAGAGAGGAATTTAATAAGAGGATAGGCACAGGGCATGGCAAGAGAATTGTACTGACCAGCCAGCTATTTAAGTGTGGCTGGCACTTTTTACCCTTCTATTTCCTATACTTGCTCCTCCCCAATTCACCCAAATCCCTCCTTTTTCCCACCTTTGGATCCTCCCCTGAATGTCCCATAATAAATCCTGTGCAATCTCAAAATGCTCCTCCCCTGTATCCCATCATGTGTCCCACCTCCAGGCTCCAAATCCCGCTTAGTGCCAAAGGTGATCTGGAGCCCTGCTCTTGATTAGTCATGGTCATGGGTTTCACGCCTGGACACCGGTGCTTGAGGGTCCCCTGGAGCAGCCCTGGGAGGGGCCCAGACAAGGTATTTCCTCTCCAGAGTCCTTAATTTGGATTTCTGCCTGCCATTGTGCCCTGTGATGGGCCTGGGTGTATCCTAGCATGGTATTATTTGGACTACCCGCCACCCTCCATTGTCTCCCTGTGCTCCTTTATGTGTGTGTGCAGATGAGCTTTCATCACAAAGCCTAGCAATATCTTCCTTTCACTCAAATACCCCTGCTTCTTTGCCAGGATGTAGGAAAATTTGCTTCTGTTCCTGTCTTTGGGAATTTGAACCTAATTTCTGAAATCTACAATCTTCCTTTCCAAATACTGGGGTTTTTTTGTGTGTGTGTTGTGAGGGGTTTTTGTTTGTTTGTTTGGTAGGTTGGTTGGGGTTTTTTCCCCTCAGATGTTTTGGTGCTAGCAAACTCTGGAACAGTCGGCAATTGTATTTATTCATTTCCATTACTTTTTTATCTCTCATTCATTTTTCAGCCAAACTAATTTCATAAATATAACATGAATTCATGAAGATTTTGGTCTGCTCTGGAATGCCCTCTTTCACGGAATCAAAACAAAAAAATGAATCCTGCCAAGTTTTATTTAACAGTGTAAACCTGTCTAGCTTTTTTAGAAAATTTATGACAGGATTTAAAAAACTGCTCTACACTCTTAAGTTCATTGTATATCTAGTTAGTTTTCACAGGATTTAGACTTTGGGGTTTTAATGAAGGTAAAATTATATTTTTCTCCATAATTGATGTTATGGAGTGAAAACATAACTAGCCAAAATATTATCATACCATACTACAAGGTCTGCCAGCCCTATTCCTTCTCTTCATTGGGAAAAAAATCCTTTCATGTTATGAAAAAATTTTGAATTACTCTGAAGTGGAAGATTATGTCCATAATCCCTCCAAATTCCAGAAAAGCATTTAACCATATGCAGGACTCCATTTGTTTTCAGAAAGGTTAACGTTAACCTAACTTCATTATAACATTAATTGTACCGTTAAATCATATACATATTTTACATTAGACACGTTTAAATGTTAAGCTGTAGAGAAATGAGCTTTTGGAACAAAGTCTTAACTTTGTAGTTTTAATTATCTTATACTGTCAGTGCAGATTTGGGATGTGGGGTACATAACTTTAGGTAGCTGTGATTTAATTAACCTTTCACATACAGTTTATTTCAATGTGAACAATTCTGTTTAATTAAGACTGCTTGGTAAATTTCTGCAGGAAGACTTTTGCTAACACTAAGCTAGCAATGGCATGCAAATAGTTTTAAGTAAAGGAAACATCAGGATATGATTTAGTCACATGACAGACGTGTTAAAATTTAAATATTTAAATTTCTTATTAGCAGGGCTTCAGTATGCTAGTATAAAGGATCAACAGATGGAATAATTTACAGCTAGTACTTTAAGATAAACCTAATCAATCTTCACAGACTATGCAAAATAAAATATTAATCTATATTTAAATAACACATGAAAATATTTCGATATGTCTATTTTTTCTGGTCTCTTCTTGTGCATAAATACAGAAATGACAGCATGCAATAAAATAAGTCTAGAAATACTTTTAACTGTTCCATTTTGGTAGTTACTTATCTTTATTTCAGTTTAAAATATAATTTTAAAATAAGTTCAAAACAAATCAATATTTGATCTTATACTGGAGGACTTTATTTGTAATAACTGAAAGAAATTTCATAACAAATATGAAGGAAGAGGGCATTAGAAAGATTATGTTGTGTGTGTATGGTAAAGAACACATTTATCCTCTTGAAGTCTTACAGTTCTTATGCTTACCTCCATTTCTGGTGAAGATCTCTCATAACCCCTGAGGAATTACCCTAAGAAAACAAAGTTCAGAACACACAGGGATCAGTGTCCACTTGTTAATCAGATCTGGAACTAAAGACTAACGTTTCAAATTTATTTTAAAGCTGTGTTTCAGGATTGGATTGGAAATTTATTCTAAATTATTTTTAACAGTTTAATGTTGTTTAATATCTCTCTCTAATGTAAAAACAATGAAGGAAAATCTCCTTTGAAATCAGAACATTCATAACTGAATTCAAGAATGAATAGAAGGAAAGGTAAAAGTTGAAAATCTTCTGATATTCATGGTTTTGCTGGATTGTCTTCTGTTTTTATCCATGGGTAGTGACCTGCATTTATTCCCAGGTGCTATTGTGTGTACTTGTCAACTGTGGTTATAGAAAAATGTCAGGAAGAGCTATGCAAGAGCACGGAAGGTTGTGATAGCCATGAGTCTTGAGATCTACCAGAATGAACTGAATAACACCTGCAAAATAATTTTCTGAGGCGAGATATGTACTGGAGGTGAAATGAATACATGATTTTTTTTTTTTTTTCTGTCCTATCCCACTCAATTTTACCTGCCTTATTCTGTTAAAATAATTGGTTGTTATAGACAAAAGGGTTAGAATAGAGCTGCTTGGATAAGTCCTGCATTAGGCATCCAGTTTGATGCATTGTCTGTTCTATTACATTGAAGAAAAAGACACTGAATAATCTTGATGTCTCTGCTTAAATGCAAGAAAGATCTGTTCTACATTACTGTTATTTCACTAGGACATGTTTCTTTTTTTGTGGGTTGGTTGTTTGGTTGTTTTTTTCAATAGTCACCTTGGGGTAATTTTTAGCAAATTAAACAGACTTAAATAAACATAGGTTTGCATGCTTATTTTAATTTTGATTGTATTTCTCTTACTACAAAGCTATGCATTACCTGGAGAACTCATTTGTCATGTATTCTTATCTTCAGTCTTTCACACACAAGTAGACACTTTTTTCATAACACTTTCACAGCAGAGTTCAGGGATACCGTTCTCTCACTCTTATTAAAGCCTATTGAACACCCTTCTGCACTATGGTGGACACGCTGTGTTCTCTCCTGCAGGGTTAAATGCTACAGGACGGCTGGCTTTAACATTCTTCTATCATTCAGTTCAGGCAAACAGCTTTAACTATGTCAAACAAGGTTTATAGATTAGATGACCCAAAAGGAATTGAATTGATCCAGTAGTGCTGGTAGTTTAAAAATATATAAAGTATACTTCTGTTGTAACTAGTTACACCAAAATGTTGTGGTGTAGTCAAGATATTCTGTGTTTTTAAACTGGCTTGCTCGTCCATACTGGCAATATTAAATGTAAACTCCTGTGATATTATTAAATTAACTTTTACTAATCCTACTTATAAAAGATTTACTGCAGAGAGGAGAGATCAGAAGGTTAATTTATTGGAGGAACTCTCACTAGTCATTAGTAAAATGTGTAGGTTAGTACAATTCCAGACATAAATCAGATTTCCATATAAAACAACACATTAGGGTTTGCTTGTCCAACCTCTGCTTCCGGGGAAGACCTTTTGAGGTTGGATTATTATTCTGTATCAAAATATGCTTGACTCGTCTCAATTGACTCAACATATACTACTGTTCTGAGACTGCTGAGAAATCCCTGACTTTTTTCTAGGATCTAAGCTCCACTTTCCTGCCCCATGGATTGCTTGTTCAAATAAATTCAAACAAAATATAAAAATAAATAAACCAAAAATATATGCCAGGATGCTTGTCTTGAATGGTAAAGCTACTTTACATAAACACATCTATATGATTTAGGAGTCTAATCCTGATGAAAATTAATGGCCTGAAGCTCCTAAAGCACTTGTATGCTTCTGAAAATGTTGTCTATGACCACTCAGATATGAATCCTCTGAGATGATCTACTTGTCTAGGTTACAATCCTCTACACTGGAAAGAAATTGTATTCAGATTGGCTTTTGTAGGTATGGACTGTAATTTAGAATTGTAGCAATAATGATTATAAATTGTAACTGACTTCAGAATGTTAACAATGTGCAGTGTTCATTCATGTCATGCTAGAATATAACTTCTCCTATGTACAAATCTTGATGCTTTGTCCTTAAAGCATTTAATTCTAAAATAAATAAATAAGATAAGATTTTTTATAAGCCCAAATAGGTCTCATATCTGTATTACTGTAACTTACTTCTACTAATAGGTCATTCCAGGAATTACTTAACAGAAAGGGTTGTTTCTGCAGAATTGAAATACCCAATGGAAGTATAGCAAAACAATAGTAAGTATATTTTTAAATATGAAAATTCCAACAATTTTTTCAAATTCATTAGAGCAGCATGACAATGCTTCACATTAACACACCAAAAATGTTTTTGTATGTCTTGACTTCAGTTGCATTATGGACCTCCTACACTGTCCAAGACAGAAATCATGATGATGAAATAATTGCTTCTGCAACCAAAATCACTGATGCAATGCTGAACCACAATGGAAATATGCAGCAAAAAGATGAACTCAAGCAAACACTTCAGATCATATCAATGATCTGTCACACTAGACAAACCTGATCACCTTGTACGACAAAGTAACCTGCTCGTTGTTATGGGGCGAGTGGTGGACATTGTTTACCTAGATTTCTCCAAGGCTTTCAATATGGTTTTCCACAGCCTCCTCCTAGAGAAACTGATGTGTTACGGTCTAGACAAGGGGTCTGTGCAGTGGGTGCGGGACTGGCTGACAGGCCACACACAGAGGGTGATGGTAAATAGCTCCTTTTCAAACTGGCAACCTGTCACAACTGGGGTTCACCAGGGATGGATATTGGGCCCAACACTGTTTAATATCTTCATAAGTGATCTGGACGATGGGATCAAGTGTACCCTGATGAAGTTTACCAATGATACCAAACTGAGTGGGGAAGTGGACACTTTGGAAGGGAGAGCTACCCTGCAGGAAGACCTGAATAGACTGGAAGATTGGGCTAACAAGGACCTTATGAAGTTCAACAAAGACAAATGTAAGGTCTTGCACCTGGGAAAACATAATCCAGGAGTGCAGCACAGGCTGGGATCTACCTGGCTGGGGAGCAGCTCTGTGGAAAGGGACCTGGGGATCCTGGTGGACAACAAGCTCAATATGAGTGAACAGTGTGCTGCTGCAGCAAAGAAAGCCAACAGGATGCTGGGTTGCGTCAACAAGGGCATCACCAGCAGAGATAAAGAAGTCATTGTTTCACTCTATTCAGAGCTTTTCATGCCACACCCTTCCAGTTGGTCTCCATTATGCAAAAAAGATGTGGACAGGCTGGACAGGGTCCAGAGAAGGGCCACAAAGATGATTAAAGGACTGGGAAGCCTGCCACATGAGGAAAGGCTGAGGGAACCGGGTTTGTTCAGCCTTGAGAAAAGAAGGCTTAGGGGAGACCTTATCACCATGTTCCAGTGTTTAAAGGGTGGCTACAAAGAAGATCAAGACTCCCTTTTTACAAGGAGTCACATGGAAAAGACGAGGGGTAATAGGTGCAAGTTACTCCTGGGGAGATTCCGATTGGACACAAGAGGAAAATTTTTCACAATGAGAACAACCAGCTGTTGGAACAATCTCCCCAGGGAAGTGGTCAATTCACCAACACTGGACACTTTTAAGATTCATTTGGACAGGGTGCTGGGCCATCTTGTCTAGACAGTGCTTTTGCCAAGAAAGGTTGGACCAGATGATCCTTGAGGTCCCTTCCAACATGGTATTCTATGATTCTGTGATTCAATATGTCAGAAATAGCTGGTTTTATTTGGGAATGCGTACATACTATGTTTTGAAAATATATAAAAAGTTCTTTTTTCTCCTCTTCTGAGAAGTTGCAGGATGCCCACATTTTGCTCCCTTGCTAGAAGAAAGCAAGAACTGAAATATCAAAATGTTCTGCAGTGGACATTTTGAATATTGTTTGGCTTTACTAATTTTTAAGAAGTCATTAAATTAAGAATTTGTATTCATGGTGTTAACCTACCTGCTTCAACTAAAACAGGAAAATCAACTTTCAGAACAATCAGTTTGCTCATGTTTCAGCAGTTCTTAGAGGTTTTCTATGAAACTGGGACTTCATTTGGCTTCATACTACTTGTTCACAAAGAAATAGTCTGTAACGCTAGACAAGGCAAAGAGAAAATGGCTAAAAAATAAACAAATAAAAGATAGAGTTTATACCCTTTTTATAGAGAAGCACCTGAAGCTTAAGTGATAATATTTTGAAGCTTAAGTGATAGTATTTTCAAACACTTTAAATGACATATTGTCAAAGGATGTTTCTACCTGTGTCCGTGCAGTTAGATCAGGACTCCTCTGCCTTTACCCAGAGCTGTGTAACTGTTATGACCACGCCAATATGCATTGTATTTCAGTGTATGTCCCATAGCAGAATATATTTGCATGGACACACTAGCATACTTTGAAGCTGTCTCTGTTTAGTCAACTCAGAATGTGGGCAGAGGAAGCTGGGTCAATTTGTATCCATCTCTGTAGACACACACATCCAGGCTCTGAGGAACTAAATCCTAATGTATTACGCCATTGTGAATTGTTAGCTTTCTATTTTTGCATATCCATCCATAAATGCAGAAAACTCCCGGTCAAAATAATCTACATTCAGTCAAAAACACTGTAAAAAAGGAACATCCTAGCTGAGCTGCTAAACATTTCTGAATTCCAACATTTTTTCACCTTGGGTCTCTTTCTCTGCAAGACTAGAGTTAAATGGAAACAAATTAGACTCGCATACATAGATAAATTCTCAGATTTATGACTTGAAATTATTTGAACAGCTCACCCAACAATACAACCTTCAGAGATAAGGCTTTCATAAATAACTTCAATTTTGACAGACATAGAGCAATCCATGTCCAAGTGTGAAAACAAATTGCAAAGACTCCAAAAAACCAGAGTTAAATGGCAAATTACTAGTCTCTATGCAGCGCTAAGTAGTATGAAAATAGGTAAGTCACAGAACATAAAAGAAAAATAAGAAACGCAATTTCTGATGAGATGACTCCTGGGCAGATATCTCCTACACTGCACACATCATCACCTCCTTTCCATCAGCGAGTGATTGCCAGCAGAAAATAATCCTTCTGTACTCTAATAATCACTAGTAAAATGAGAAGAATGGGGCCAACATCCTGTGGAAAATGGAACAGGAAAATAGATCACCACAAACATAATTTTCTGGTGTTGCTCACGTGCAAAATTTTGAACATATACATACATAAACTTATATGAAACCTTTGACATGACATGCATTTTGAAAAACACCCAATTCATTATGTTCTGAAAATGAATTCTGCTATTCCATTTGTACGAAACCACATTTACACAAGAAAAATTAAAGCACCTCTCCCAACACCTACACTCAAGAAAGCTCTATTTAGTTATTAGATTAATAATAATATAATGGGAAAGGGAAAGAATTAGATTATACTTAAAAGAAATGCCATAGTCCCAAAATAGCAAGAAAATGACAACAAATGGCAATGAGGGAAACACAGACCATATTTACAAACCCAGAAAAAAGAGCACAGAAAAAAGACAAAGAACAAACTAAAAATCCATTTTGCATCATAATATGTATGACATTGCAGTATTTGTAGAAATGCATCGCCCTATTGAAAAAAAAAAAAAAATCCTCAGTGTAAGCATATAGAGGTGTAATACTTCTTAAAAAAAAAAAGCAAACTCAAGATAAGCAAAATTAGAACCATTCCAAGGTCAACATAAATGATGTCTGTTAAAAGAAACTGAACCCAGTGAACCTTAGGATCCCAGGGAGATCTGAAGCTGCTGTGGTTCTCCGTTCAAGATTCAGGCAGTAATAAGGCTGAGCATATTTCCCCAACACACACATGCAAGCAGACATGGTTGACCACCAGAAGATAAACATAGGCAGAAGAAACGTGCTTTTAGATGCACCAGATACACACAAACAGCACTCATATAAATAACACAAACAGCCTGACCTTCTCCAGGCTGGCCCAGACTTAGTCCCTCCAGCATCCAGCTCCAAGAGCAGCCAGCCAGACTACTGGCCAGCTAGTCTGACTTGAGTTTGCTAGCATTTCACACACACAAAATAGGGTTAGCACTCACACAGTTCTCTCTATGGACAGAAACAGGACTAGAATTTACCAAGAAGTGAGGACAGACTGTGCCGTGATCATGGACAGGACTCAGACAAGCGTACTGACCTGCAGCTTATTTACATGAGACTGCCCGCTATAATTGCCCCTCTTCTCCATTTTTTCCTCCCTTTTCTGACATTTTACCTTTCTCCTAAGCAGCCTGTAATAAGTTTTGCACATTCCTATAATCCCCTCGAGCATCCCATAAGAAGTTTTACACACTTGCATGGTCACCCTTAAATGTCCTATAGTAAGTTTGCTCTTTCACATCAGACCCAGGATACTCTAATTTCTCTTTTGACCTGTTACAAAGTTGTGGTCGATTCTGCCTAAGGTCACACCTGCCTGGTGCCTTTAACAGCCCATCCAGCAGCTCTGGTCTTTGGTGTGGACTTTGATATCTACTGTTTCTTAGGGTTTCTGGATCTGTCTCTTCAGTTTTTTGTTTTTCCTGTTTCTTGTCTTGGCCTTTTAACCAGTTGTGCTTACAAAACAGATGTTCTGCATTGCAGCTATCCTTACAGAATTGTGCCTAACATTCAGCCTAACCCTATCCTTTTCCTTGACTCTCTCACTTTCTCTATGAGTAGATTTAGGCATTTGGGAGAAATTGGAAAATGAGCAGAAGACAAGAAGGGGAGGGACATATTCTGCAACACACATCTTGCTGCATACCCATGTCCCTTTGCTATTCATCAAATTTATTTCTCAATTTTCTGAATCTTTCAAGAACAAGACCACTTCAAAAAGATGTATTAGAGAGACGTTAGTTGTCCTTTTCTTTTCAATAATAAACAGCAATGCTGATTATTTGCTGATGGTGAGTTGGATGATTTAAATATTGAATTCAGCTGCTTACGTTTTACAAAATTACTATGAAGGCTCAAGGTTCACTCAAATGCCACAGAAATTTTAAACTCCAAAACAGAGAACTGGTTCTGTGTTATATTAACTGTATTGTCTGTGTCACTGTCTCTCTTTCCACATTTGTAAAAAATAAACCCAAAAATACAAGACAGGAATTTTTACAAACCTTTTCCACAAATGTTATAAATTGTGTATCAGCTTTCGCTTCTCAGCGAGTCTATTTTCTGCCAAACCCTTTATAGACAAATGAAAAGGTTTCTTAACCTGAAAATACACTTATAACCAAACTACCTGCAAAAATTGCTGAAATGGGTCTTCTTACTTATTTAAAATAAAATAAAAAAAAATTACTGTTTTGAATCTCTTCTATTAATTCTTCAAAGACCTCAGTTTTACATCAAGCATAAACATTCATTAGCCAGGCTGTCTAAAAGTGATAAAACTCTAAAGATCAGAAAAGCTTGTTTGCCATAGTATGGTCTTTGTTATGAGTATCTAGGTGCTGCAATGGATTAAATGGCTAAGACTGACAATTGTAATTTTTCCTTAAGTAGCTTGCCTAAAAATAAATAAAATTCAACAGAGATGCACAGAGACTTTGATCTCAGGCATATTTGCATGTAAAAATTACTGTTAAAAATACCTGATTTTATGTAGCTTTCTAATACAAAATATAAAAAACACAATAAAACTGTGATTCAGACTGCATTGCTTGACATCTAACAATTCTAAAAAGCGTTCAGTGTTTTCTGACATGTCCAACTGTTGTCTCAGAAAAAATGTAGTAGGGAACAAATTTACAACTACTATATAAAATATTTTCCAACTTTAAAGTGCATTCAGTGCGACTGTTTGGGTCACCAAATTTTTCCAGGTGGATTCTTAATTTCTGAATATTAGTGCCTTTTCAGTTTCTTTTCTTGTATGTTTTTGAAATATACTAAGTAAAAAGTGTCAAGCTGTCTTCAACTTCTTTCCTGTGTGAATTATTGCTTCAATGTCTGTTATAGTATTTATTTTAGAAGTGACTGATAAAAGATTGCTACTGTCTTCTACATGCTTTGGATGCCTTAAAATTTGGACATGTTTACAGTGTGGAATGCACATTTATTTGCTTTTGATTAAGAATTCTAGTATTGCAGAATTCAGAACTACCAAATGTTTGTAACCAGACTGTTCAGCTGCTGACTTGACAATAACTAATTCTAAGACAAGTCATCTTTACTCCATGGAATATTTTGCAAAGTGTAATTAAGTGTTCGGTGCTGATATCTAGTATTGTCCCTCTCTCATTTGTTAATACAGTAAGCACTAAGTGGGGTGTGCAGGGGAATACAATCTAAGTGCCCTTCTCTACACATGGTGAACATTTAGTTATGGCACATAATAGGTAAAAACTTCAGTAGAAGGCAACAAGTAATGCCTACTTTGGCATCCCCTGTCATATGTTGATTAAATGATGTATGCTGTAAAGGGGGACATATGGTTTTGCCTCAGAGGAGCAAACTGAATCCATGTCCCCCACAATCATGCTCTGTAGTCCTACCGCTGAGCTACTGAAGCAGCATAAGAAGTCCTGCCTTCAAAACACTGCTGTTTATTTACGCATATGGTCTTGCAAGCAATAAAGGCTGAGAAATATTTAACTTATGCAGCCAAAGAAAGTTTAGGCAGTTCCTGCCTGATGGCATAGTTCCCTCCAAACAGGCACTTGAAGCAAGCAAAGAAAACCACCTATGAAAATGAAAGGCTTTGAACTGGTCTACATTGCACCAGAAAGCCCCAAATTTACCGGACAGATTCTAGAAGCAGTATAACTGTACTGCTTCCATAGCACCTGCAGAGCGGAGGGCCTGCAAAGGTGGCTGCTACTGTTGGGTTTTAGCAGATTCATGGCACCTGCTCTTGGTCTTTGCACTGCCCAGATCTTCATACCTGAGGATATCCTCCTCACATACATGTGGTTGAAGTCTCTCTGCACCCATGATCTCTTTGATGCATCTTGACAATAATGGTTTGGTGGCCTAAATTTTATATACAGAAAGACATGGAAACATTTCATATAGACCCAACGTCTATATAAAGTTTGTATGAGTGATTCCTTTTAGTCAGATTAAATACCAAGCACGTGGAGATATCAGCAAA